CCCCAAAACCCCAAAACCCCAAAACCCCATCATGCATTAGTAAAATGGTCTATTAGAAAAATGTACAGATTGATCTATACAATGTTGTGAACTACGGGCATATTAATATTAAGTGATATTAAGTCAAAAAGATATATTGAAAAATGGAAGTTTGCGGCCCTTTTTTTTCCCTGCCTTTTGTACACTACTGCCTCCGACAATTAAACCTTTATTAATCTCATCATAATGAGCTCTGAATATTTTTCCACCAACATTTACAGATATCTAGCAAGGTCCATCTGCTCCAACAAACATCCAGAACTATCCATTTAAGTCAATCTTTATCTTGTCTTTATCTCTTTAATCAGCAGGTGTAATGCACATGCCATCCTTGAACACCAGCAACCTGATTTGTTCAGTAAGGCCTAAATCCTTTTTGAACTAGCTTGTTAATTGTTCCTTTTTCTTCTTAGATCCTTTTTCTATTTCTTCCTAAGCTATTTCTTATGCAATCTCATCTGCGTCTTAATAGTGCATGCATATACCAACTGAATCACCAAATTCTTTCATAGTTAAAGACTTCTAGAATTTTCTACCCTGCTCACCAAATTAATAAGTTCCATCGCTTCCATTTATGAGGCAACTATCAATTATCAAATGGCAATATAAATTCTTACGTTTGTTTTCCATTAAGCTGTTCAATCACTTCAGGTTCATTTAAAAATTTATCTTTCTACTCCACTATTCCAACAAAAATTGCTGCATCATTCTTATTTTCTAGCACATCAACTTCAAAGTATCTGAAATAAGTGCATGGAGGAATAGGAATGCAGGATTTCAACAGAATAAGCTTTCCCTATTCTTGTTCAAAGCTCACACTAATTTCACTGTCATTTTTGCTTTATATTATCTATGATGTTACAATGCTTTTAAACTTTTCAGGGACAGTGAAATTCCATTTCTAGAGGTTTGAGATTTCTGAACTGTCAAGTTCTGCTTTATCGAATACATTATAAGATCTATCTTTGTTGCTCTGATAATCTAGCCACTTCCTTCTTAAGTATCTGCACAAAAAGTAAAAGCCTACTATTGATGCTAACCCTCCAATATATAAGGCAATTTTAGTCCAAATTGACATTGGCTATAGATTGTTAATCAAATTCATTGATGATTACAGGTCTATATTTTGAGTCATATAACTCGCCAAGAGTTTCGTTGTATAAGCATTCGTTTTCTTCAACATCAAGAGAAAATGGAGGGTAGCAATCTGAACACTAATCTAGTTCAGGTCCAAAGCAACTTTTGCAATGTGTATGACAAGCTATTTTTTACTTTAAGACAGAGGTTAATTTTACCTTTGCAAATAGTTTTGTTTACAATATATGAATTCTCTGGAAAGCATTCAGTATCGCAAGTATATTGATCTACTTAAAGGAAGCCGTCAGCACATTCAAAACAGTTTTCATTCTCAGGTCCAAAGCACGTGGCACAGGCTGGATGGCAACCCACACACATATTATTGACTGGGTCGTAAAAGAGCCCAATGGACTCACAGTTTCCAACGCAGACATTACCTTCCTTTGGATGCTGAACATAAAACATTCTTGGAAAGCAGCTTGTGCATTCTGATTTAGCAGGACCAGTACAGCTAGCACAGGATTTATGACATGCTAAAGTTTATATAAATGATAAATGACATTCTTACGATAGCACTTATTTTCTTTGGGGTTTAAGAAGTAGTTTTTAAAGCAAGGAGGATCATAAATTGCTTTGACTGAACTTGAATTGCTACCTGTATTGTTATTCCCACTACTTTACTATTATTATAAAGTCACGGTACTATTACTAGTAGTATTCTATTGGCTTGTATTATTGGCTTTTGGTTAGGATGAACTATTATTATAGGGAGTAACTGCAACATTCTAAGAAGCATTTGCAGAGGAAGTTGCTGATTCAGAAGTGTTTTTATCTTTCTATGTCATTTTCTAAATTTTAATTTTAAATTAAGAAATTATATTTAATTTTTAAACTGAATATAATTACCTGCGGGGTTTTGGGGTTTTGGGGAGATCGG